ATCCTCTTCGCGACAAAACATTAGGGGATACTGTAGGGTATCATAAGCGCGATGTGTCTCGCTGATACGCTGTAGGCGATCATCACGTGTGCGTAATACAATGTCTCTTTTGTCGCATTCCTGGTCAACCAAGAGGGTGACTACCTCGTTTAACGTTGGTGCGTTATATCGTCCTGGATGGGCTGCGGTCGGTCTTTTGTCTGCGCTAATAACGAATTTAAAATTATCGCGCTCGTGTTCAGGCACCGATTCCAGAGCGGTTTTGAAATCGGTAACGTATGGGTTGACACTATGCAGAGTGTTTTGTAATCCCCTTATAAGGCTCAAGTCTAATTAGGAATGTGTCGGCATCGGACATTAGCCTGTTCAGCAAAATCTGCAATGAAATATATTTGCAAAAATTTTGGCATTTTGGTGGGAAGCAGGGTTAATATATATAAATATAAATATAGGGAAACCTATCCGATGGTAGATTTGCCCATGAATTTTAAAAGTCGGCATGAATCCAGATTCAGTGACTTGATGAGCTCCAAATGAAGTCATCTGGAAAGCACTGTTGTAGGCTCGAATATTGCTTAAGAAATGGCTGGACTTTTGATGCTCGCTATTCAAAAGAACTCGTAAGATCTCCGGTAGCTCTTTCATAGTCTACCTAGTACTACTGTCATAGTCAATATCCTTTAGTCTCTCCCTTCCACTTACGCGCGTGACAGTGTGCACAAACCTCAGACATGGTGCCAATGTCTCCGTGTTCGATGTAATTAATAAATGGGTTATAGGAAAACGCGCTCCTTTCTTTATTGAACCACGGTTGCTCTTCAGGATCATAAACCATAGACTCAATATCAGATGAGGATGAATTGCGAAGATTGCGACGTATATGATCTAGATCAATTTGGGCCACACGCTGTTCGATTGACTGACTTGCCCGAATTTCCTGAATCCGCTCACGTTCTTGCGTGGAATGAACAGGCACTTCAACACGCATGTCGTGATATCTTTGCCGAGCAAGTGCGTTGCGTTGCTCGCGCTACTCGTCTGTCTCCAAAGACCGAGCTAGAGCATGCTGTGAGCGGTCTGCACTAAGTCGCGTCTCACGTTCTTCAATATTCTCAAGTGATCGAGATGTGGCAGTGCGAATACGTTGGGAGCTTAAACGCGAGTCTCTCTGCGTATAAGTCTCCGAAGCGCGAGATACTGCGTGGCGCTCACGATCGCTTGCTTGGCGTGTATCACACTCCTGATATTCTCGAGCGACCGAGCCGTCTCAGTGCGGAAAAACTGAAGACTTAATCTCTGCTCTCTCTCTCTCTGTTTCCGTTTCGGAAACGCGAGATAAAGAATGACGCTCTCGGTCACGCGCAAGTCGTATCTCACGCTCCTGACTGCTCTCAAGTGATCGAGCAGTCTCAGAGCGGATATTCTGAAGACTCAACCTCTGATCCCTCTGTGTAACCGTTTCGGATGCGCGAGAAAAAGAATGACGATCCCGGTTGATAGCTAAACGCATTTCTCGTCGTTCCACCTGAGATCGAGAAGCAGTAGTGCGGACTCGTTTAAATTCTAGTCGTAATTGGCGCTGCGTCCTAGTTTCTGCGGACAAACTTAGTGCATTACGCTCACGGTTAGCACCCAGCCGTTGTTCACGCTCTGCGTCGGTTTCGAGAGATCGAACTAACCTGCGCATCTTAGAAACCCTTGAGTTTCGACAGATTTGATCTTTTTCTAAAAGGCATAGCTAAAATTCCTTCTTAATCCGATAGTACGAAACTAACGATATTCAAAACAATGAAAATGAAAAGTAATCGAATAAGTACGTAAAAATTGCTATTAAGTAGAATAATAATTATTCGCAGGTAAACACAGAGTACTTTTTTATACCTATAACATCACCTATAACACCTATAACATCACTTTTTGGGAACGAAACCATAGCGCGATCTAACTCAACGCCAACGACATCTAGTTAGAAAACCGAAACTACATATTATTTACCCATATTAAATCATGAATTAAAACTAAATTGTCGTTAATTTAACAGACAAGTACATTATTTTTGCATTAAAAAATATGGTAACAGCAGCAAGGAACAAAACTAAGAATTACATACTTAAATCAATTACCTACAACAAATGTGCTTGGTAAGCAAAGACATTCAAATAGGTAGTAGTAATAGACCGGACATCAGTAACAAAAATGTCATCTGTAACTTTTGTCCTATATGATATATCTCCGATTTTCGTCATTTAGTCTAAGTGACATAGTCAAAAGGTCAAGACGCATTCATTTTATAAATTTAAAAATATTTTTAAAGAAAATATGCCTGGTTGTGAATTAAAGTATTGTAAATCACGATATGAAGCAAAAATGAACGTGATTTCGGTTTATTATCGTAAGAATAATGTGTATTTACCAAATAATCTTTAAATCTTACTATTTCTAGTATATTGTTCGAGAAGAAAGAAAAATTATTGTAATAAGTGCCCTTTGTTATCCAGTAAAGTCACTATTTATTTACAAATATGTTAGTGATTAACGATGTACCTACATCGGATTTTAACCTTATGTTTAGTAGTGTCACCTACTGGGAAATAGCTAAAATGTTTTCTAAATAAATATTCAATGTAGTATTGCTATATTTCGCTAGAGGGTGTAATACAGTTCTCAGATTTCCTAATGTACAAAAAAATGCAAAAATTTAAAAAAAAATACGATTTTTCAAAACAATATTATGGGATTTAAACTGGCACCATTTAATGTGGTAAACGGTCGCCTGACCTTACCGCTAAATTCCCCGTTGACATATTGTTATACAGCTGTTCCCTTGCAATTTATAATATTACTGCCCCGCTCCTTTATAAAAATTGCGCCCTCCTTTCTTCCAAGGAGGGTCGCGTCAGTTTACGGCTTAAAAATCTCTAGTCAGATCGGTAAGCCAATCCCTTAAGGCAGTGTTTAGTGGGTAAGTCTCCACTTAACCACGCAGCCGGCTGCGTGGTATGCTATGAGCATTCACTGCCTCCCTCCCCCGCTTTCCGGAGGGGAAAATTGTAAAAATAGCGTGATTATTATGTTCCCAGAGTTAACTTTTTATTTTTATTTTGACTAATAAATAACATGTCATTTTATGCATTCAATTACGAAGAAAAACTTTTTAAAATCAATATTGCTTACCTCCTATAACATACGGCGTGATAATATGTAGCCTAAAGCCTTCTTTGGTAAAAAAAGAACATTTTTGCTTAATTTCAATTCAATCTATCCAGTAGTTTTGGCATGAAGCCGTACCATACACACAGACAAACAGACAAAAAATTTAAAAAGTCACTTTTTATCATCAGTTACATTTTTCTAACAAAAGCCACTTATTTTTTCTCGAAAATTCTCAATGTACAGTTTTTTTTTCGTTACTGTTTTATATATAATAAAACATATATAAAACAGTAACGAAAGAAAAACTATAGATAAATGTAATAGTGGGAGGAAAAAAGACAAACATTTTTTTTAAATTTAATCTCGGCAAATGCGGGTGCTCCGTACAATGTTTACGGTAGCGTTGCCGTAAACATTGTACGGAAACATTGCCGAGTCAAATTTTGAGGTCCCTTTATTTCCTAGTGAGTAAACTTAGTGTACAAAATTGTTACGAGATAAAATATAAGCAGATAACTTTTAAAAACAGTGTAAACACTTAACTTTTAGATAAAAATCTAACAACAAACTTTCTTCTGTATCCACGTTTTTTTTAATATTATGTTGTTGCCTGCTTCTTGCACTCACGCGTCGAAGGAAATAAACTGTACCTGTGCTATGAATTAATTGGGTCGCGTAGGCAAAAGCAGAATCTCGTCATTTGAAGTAAATTATCTAAATTTAAAGAGGAATAATTTAGTAACAAGACTAATTCTAATAAAATTTTTAGAATTTTGTTTGTATAATTCTTATATTAAACATTTAAAAAATAATTGCTCTGAGCCACAAACTAATAAGAAGTTCTGGTTCTGAATACTCTTATCTTTGGTTCTGATCAGAAGTGGCTCGAATGTTCGAGGATCCGACTTGATCCAAGCTAAAACTGTACGTGAATCCGTCCAGAAAAACCGATTAGAAATTTTTAATCTGCTATATTTTTCAACGGCTGCAGATAGCCGCGAGCACAATAAGGCTGCTTGTAACTCAAACTTCGGAACAAAAATAGGCTTTAAAGGTGTCACTCTTGCCTTTGCGGCTAGCAATGAGACCTGCCTCTCTTCATCATCGCCTTTGGTGACATAGTACACCACCGCGGCGTATGCTTCCTCATTAGCATCCGTGATCGTATGCAACTCTCCCTCGTTGAGGTTGCCAGCGATGGGTCTAGGTACTTCCAAATGACCTAACTTCTCAATTTCTTCTAACCACTTTCTCCATAGCGTATTTAATTCTTGTGGGATCTGATCGTTCCATTAAATGCACAATCGCTACGTCTGCTGAATAAGTGACTTTCCCTGTACCGTTACGGGCGAAGCAAGTCCTAACGGATCGAAAACTGACATGACTGCACTTGTCACTTCCCTTTTTGTGGGAGGCCGTAAACCATCGATTACTTCCGGTGGTGTGTTCCGTAAACTCACTGAGAAACTCAACGTGTCTTGTTTAATGTTCCATATTAAACCTAATGTTCGTTCCGCATGTACTCTATCGCCTAGAGAGGCGCTTTCGCTTTTCAAGATATCGTCCATGTTGTTTAAAACCTCGGGTCTGTTACTAGCCCATCCCCGTAGTTGAAATGAAGCGTTCATAAGCAATTCATATACGTCATTAACTACCTTTTTGCTGCCGCCATGTTGGGAAATGCCTGTAGATAATCATCCATATGGAAGTTTTGCTGTGTAGCTAAAGACGCTTCTGAATACTTACAGAAGATGATCTGTAATCAATTGTGAGGTTATAAGCAAACCCACTTTTATATTTGTCGGACCACGCCACCGAATTTGTAGATTGATCTTCTATGTGTACATCTAAGTCATTAAGACTATGTCGAAATCTGTCTGCAGACGGGCCTCTCGCTGTTCGTCCGTTTCAAGAGACTGAATATTTTCAATTCTTAATCTTTCATTAGACAAACTTATTAATCGTTCTTGTCTCAAAGAATTGTAATATTCGCGTCCCGACTCTAGTCGTTGTTTATGCTCATGTTCATCTTCAGGAGATCGAATAATATTATGGTGCACCCTATCATTTGTCAAACGGTCTACATATTGAGTAAAAGTTTCAGATTCTCGAGATAAAATATGATGTTCGCGATCAGCTGTGAGACGTAATTCCCTCTCAGTGTAGGTTTCGGACTCCCGAGATAATGTATGCCGTTCGCGGTTAGCTGTGAGACGTAATTCCCTCTCAGTGTAGGTTTTGGACACACGGGATAGTACATGCCGTTCGCGATCAGCTGTGAGACGTAATTCCCTGTCAGTGAAGGTTTCGGACTCACGGAATAGTACATGCCGTTCGCGATCAGCTGCGAGACGTAATTCCCTCTCAGTGTAGGTTTCGGACTTGCGAAATAATGTATGCCATTCGCGGTCAGCTGTGAGACGTAATTCCCTCTCAGTGTAGGTTTCGGACTCGCGAGATAATGTATGCCGTTCGCGGTCAGCTGTGAGCCGCAATTCTAGTTGTGAAGCAGTTTCCTCTGCCGATTCTTGAGAACGCACATTTCTCTTAGCTTCTCTCGAATTTCGAGATAAAGATAATCGTTTTTTAGGTGGCATTGTGTATTTTATTTTTAATCGACGGAATTCAGTTACCTAACAAAATAATCTACGATAGAGGTCCTAACTATAGCTACCATACACTTAAAAAAATCTAAATGCCTACTTAAATAATAAAACGGATCCTAAATAAATCCTTAAATCCAAAATTAAATTCTTAAAAATATATAAGTAGGTACCTAAACTACGTCTAATAGAATGAAATAATAAGCTATTTGATACCTAGGTACCTATTTAAAACTACAGCTAAATAAATAAAAATAGTTTAATTTATAATTAAGCTAACACTAAGAAATATTTAAACACTACCAAAATAACTAATACCTATTTTATAAAATAACAACCAAAGAAATCTAAAAATAAATTGACGATGCTGGAGTGATCTAAAAAAATGGTTCTTTTACACAAATGCAAAGAAAAATCATAATTCTTTCAGGCCATACTGATCTAAGTGTTTCCCAGTATTTTTTTCCTTGAGAAATCACAACATCTCACTATAGAATCGGTGTGGTTTGCAAAATGGAGACATGCCAAACTGATCTAAGTAATGAGAGCGCACTTAGATCACTATGGTTGCAAGTTGCTGGCGTTTATGGAAATCCAAACTGATCTAAGTGCAATTAATTGTGTACAAATAATTTACGTAATTTTTATTTAATATCTATGTTTATATACTTAAAACAAATAATATGGTTTGATATTTTTACAAAACCACTGAATATTTTTAAACTGGCAACACAAACGCAGTCACGTCTACAAATTCAAAATCAATTAACGTGTTGCTAATTTTTTTTGGTTACTTGTCATATTGATTTCGGTTTAGTCACATGCGATTGGATATCTTTTGTTTTATTAAATATTTTAATTGAAAGGGTGTTACGTAAACAATGGATAACAGAAACAGAGCTAAAAGAATAGTGAATATGGCATTGCAATCTTCGCCGCCGCCATCTTCATCGACTTCAACAAATGAAGATTTTTCAAGTGATCATTCTTGTTACCATCCACAGCAAAATATAGAAATTTCCACAGAATTAGAAGACAGTGAAGGTATGTATTGTTGTCGAATATAAAGGGCTGGAGAGATTTTACTTTTATTGTGTGATTTGCAGTTCGATTTCAGAATCATATTTTTTCAAATATTGTTGCTTGACTTACACTTATGTTCTTTTAATCAATTAGTACGAAAATACTTATAAGGCTATACTCTAATAAACTACATACATAATAATAAAAGTGGGGGAGGCGGATTCAAATACTCTTTACTTTTGAAACTTATTTTTATTTGCTTTGTCACTCTTTCATATTCATTCTTTCTACGTGAAAACCACTTCTTATAACTTTTTATTCCTTAATATAACCTATTTTTATAAGCAAATACTCGTCTATTGCGTTTTTGCTTCATGTTTGAATCTGACTTTATGTTGTTCTTTACAGATAATGAAGAAAGAAAGGATCCAGAGGGTCCTATAGGTAACTTGGGGGAAATAAATCATCCAGATTCCGATGAACCTGTCAGAGGAAGAAAAAGAGTTCGGAATTTCGACAGATGGGCAAAGAATATAAGGAAGCGAAAAAGAAATGCAGGCCAAGAATATCGCAACGTACGAGGTAGTATTGTCCCAGCTAAAGTATTTACACCAGTTGTATGCAGCTGTAGGTTCAAATGCAGTGAGCAGGTTTCATCTGAAAATCAAGAAGCAATACACGTAATGTTTTATCAGCTCACCTAATGGGATGCTCAAACAACATGGTTGTGCAGCACCATTAAGACTTTAGAACCAAAACGCCGTAAGCAAAGACAAAATGCTCAAAATCCTAGCCGCATAAATTATGTACGCCAATTCATGTTGTTGGACAAAAGAGTTTGCAAAAGTTTCTTTTTAAAGGTCATACAAATGTCTAACAAAAGATTAGATTATGCATTACGCAATAAAAAATTTGTTTCTGGAATAGCGGAAAGAGATAAAAGGGGACAACATGTACCTGCTAACAAGCTGCCTGATGAAAAGTTGAACTGGATTAAAGACCACATTAATAGTTTTCCGAAATTTGTGAGTCACTATGGAGAAAGACGATCAACACGAAAATATTTGCGCCAGGATCTTTCAATGAACAAAATGTATGAACTTTTTAAAGCAAAATGTGAGTCGGAAGGAAAACCAATATTGAAAAAGAGTGCCTACGTCAAAGTATTTACAACCAAGTTTAATTTACACTTCTATATCCCTAAGGCAGATACTTGTAAAACCTGTGATATGCTCGAGATAGCAATGAAGGCGGAAGAAGATATAGAAACATGCTTAGCTATAAGGGTACAAAAAGATCAGCATATTAAACTTGCAGGCGAAGTAAGAAACATATTAAATAACTGTAAAGGTAAAGTCAAAACTGACGAATCGTTATTAGTAGCTACTTTTGATCTGGAACAAACCCTGCCCCTTCCTTATTTGAATACTGGCGAGGTCTATTATTTAAGACAACTGCAAATGCTGAATAACTGATGACAAACTAATGGTTTTATTTTATTTTATGGCATGTATCATGAAAACAAAGCGAAATTCTGGTATTTAATTTGAAAATTACCTGAATTTCGGTTTATTTTCATTATACATACATATTTATGGAAAGGTATTAAATAAAACGAAGTTGTAAGCGTATTTTAAAATATTTCTTTTTCTTTTCATTGCTTTTTTCGAAGCTTCACCGGTGAACTGCCTATTTTTTAAAATATAGCGTTTTATGCATATACATATAGTAGAAATAATTATATGCATTTTATTTTTATCATAGTGCTCAGAACAATCAAGCAACCATTCGAAATTTAATTTTCTTCTTAAAATTTCTATAAGTTCATTTTTTTATATTTATTTTACACCCACGCTCATTCAAAAATTTATTAACAATTGTTGCAGCAATCTCCACTATCTCCGTAAAAATCAAAAAATCATTAACATAATGTGATAAACTTGTGAATAAATGACTTATCTCTGTATTCTGGTCTGCAAGCATTGTGATTTTGCACTGATGGCAAATGGGTACTAATTTTTTTATCATAAAGCCACATACATATGCGCAAGCTTGCAGTTCTCCAGAACACTGAGGTATTACAGTATTAGATGCTTCTACACCTTCTGTTAAATCAAATGTTTTAACAGCTACATTTGTTTCTTTATTTTGGTCAACTTGACTTAACCCTTAACCAGGCCCAAGAGAACTACACAACTTACATAACTTTCAACTATTGATTCTATATACTATTATAATTGTTATGGCATACGAACAAAGAAAATTGGAAAATGACTTGGAAAATTAAAGGAAAAACATGTGGGACAACATATTCCCATTGCCTGGAAAGAAATTAAAAAAACTAAGTGCGACTACTTAATATTGGAACATAATTTTCTTGGATTTTTTTCTTGTTAGGTTAATAATTGACTCTAAATGCAGGGGTTACTTCGCTGAGATAGGGCGGGGTATTATAAATATATGATGTACTGTAATGAAAGTGGTTTTATTTTGAGGACTATTTTACTTTCAAATATATAAAAAAAAGTAATGAAAGTGTTTTTGATAAATATTCATCTATCAACATTGTTGTTCTGAGGTTTGGTGAAAATGTATCATGCAGGGGTACACACAAAGAGTCACCTTACATATTTGGCACATGTACTTCGAACGGGTATCCTTCTGTCTCGTACTACAGAATTTGCACCTCTTTCTAGTGGTCATGGGTTCCAAGTAATGCTGCCCTTTGTAACCCAGTCTTAACTCATCTGGGACGCCAAACACTCCTCCTTTTTTATTTTTCCAAATTATTGGGTTGCCTTTTTGAATATTTATGTACTCAGACTTTAATTTTCTGGCCAAACGCAAACGAAAATCTCGATGTATGTTTTTCCTTGTTTCATTTTCATGTTGATATATGATATAAGCATTTATTACAGCACACTCAAATAAAAACCAAAACAATCTTGGCCATGTTTTTTTGGATCTGCGTCCAATGGAGTATGAGCTACGGTAATGATCAAAATGATCAACTCCACCCATGTTTCGGGTGTAATCAGCAATAGCAGATGGGCAATACATTTTCTTCTTTTCGCCATTCTTTTGTCTTCTTTCTATTAGTTCTATTTTTCTAGGGTTTACGGCTGTTGTAAGGACGGTCACGTCTTTAGTATCTTTCCACTTAACTACCCCAACAGGGTGACAGTATCTGTATGTGAATTCTCCTGGTTGTAGTTGTTCTTTCTTACTTTCTTTTTTGACAAAATCTTCAGGAAGTCCTTTTCGTGATAGTCTAACAGTACCAATGGCAAATATTCCTTTGTAATATAAATATTCCAAAAGAGCGACAGAGGAAAAAAAATTGTCAAAGACTATCAATGTGTCCTTTGGTACGTTAACACACAGATTTTTCACCACTCTGTAACCCAGTCCTTCACTGTCGGCATTTTTATCTTTACCTGTATAGATGTCACATTGGTAAAGGTATCCTGTTTTCGCATCACATCTACACCACGCCTTGTACCCTCGTTTAATCGGTTTACCCGGCATATACTGTTTTTTGGAATCACGACCTTTAAACTTTATCATGCTTTCATCAATTGATTGTGATTGAGAATTGGTAGCGTTTTCTTGAAAAGTTTTATTTAAAATGTTCAACATTGGCCTTATTTTTTGAAGTTTATCATGATCTTTATGATTTTGTGGTAAATGAGTAGTAATATCGCAAACGTGTATATTCTCTAATATTTTTTTAAATCTTTTACAAGGCATTGTTCTAGATATTTCCTGATTATTGTAAAATGGGTCTGAATTCCAGTATAATTCGATATCTGATTGTGGGGCAATTCCCATAAGAATCACTATAGCCAAGAATGCCTTAATTTCATTACTGTCTACATCCTTCCAAAACTGGCTGCCTTTTAAGATCGCATACTTGTTGGTGTTTTCGACAATGAGCTGAAATAATTCATCAGGGAACATATCCATAAAATGGTCAAATGGGGTACCTCTGTTGTCGTGTTTTGTAGTAGGTTGTAACTGTCTACTAAAATCACGATCTTCAAAGTAACCTACTTTTGTACTCCACTTTCTTTGCTTCGTCTGTAATTCAGCATAAGTTGGCTCAAGTAGCACACAAAGTTGATCATCGTCGGGAGCTAAGGAAATGGCCATCTCTTCTTGTTCAACTATAACCTCAGGAGTTTGCTCACAATCTCCCAGACTCTGAGACACACTTTCTTTGTTGGTATGTGGAAACTTAGATTTCGGCAGATGTTGAGATGAAGTTGTCGCGGTGTTATACGGAAATGTATATTCTGGTGAAGCATCGGGTGAGATTGTCCTGGCACCAGGTAGCGTTGGTGAAAGCTGGGAAGGGCCAAAAACAGCATTTTCCAGATGTGCCGGTGTCTGCAAAAACTGGGACGTTCTGGCCACAGGTTCTGGTGTGTCGTGTGCTGGTGGACGCTGAGACATAGGTGAAAGCTGGGAATGACCAGAAACAGCATTGTCCAGATGTACCGGTGTCTTCAAAAACTGTGATGTGCTGGCCACAGGTTCTGGTGTGTCGTGTGCTGGTGGACGCTGAGACAAGCAATCTCTGCACCTGCATATTAAAGTAGATAGTGTGCGCTTTGGTGGACACTTAGATGAAGCTTCTGTGTCGCCCTGTGATGGACCTAGCATTGCATCAGCAAGTAAAGATTTCGATAAAAGATGTGATTTATATTTCTTGTCGACATGCCGAACCTCCTGGTCTGAATTTGACAAATAGTGGTCATTTTCTTGTAACAGTTGTGCTTGTGCAGGACTACTCTCAAGTATATGCAACAAATCGTCATTCGAAATACCTTGCATGTTGTCCAAAGCAGTGTCCATAACTTGAGAATAGTAATCTTTAAGACTCGCCTCGCAATCGTCATCCTCGCTACTCTCTTCCGACGACTGCCAATATTGGAGGATGTTTTCAATTTCGTGGTCTTTAACGGTTTTCTAAAATAATATAATCATAATCAGGCAAAGGAAGCATAAGTCCCACAAAACAAAAACGTTAACAGGCAACGGTCACATTTGTCCCACAACATTTGGGAAGATATTGTGACAAATATTTACAATAATCTACAAAAAAATATGTTAAATCCACAAGAAAAACAAATAATCTACAACATATCCAAAAGTTACACGACTTACCTTTTGTTTTTTCGACATTATTAATAAAAATGTTCACTGTGCTACGAAAACAGAGGCGCGCAACTGACTCACGAAATCAAATGGCTGTCACTTTGACAATTGCGTTCGGATGCACAGTTTTTTATTCTGGACCCATAGATAATATATTTAGGGTAGCCATTTTTATAAATTGTGGAGTTTATATTACCAGAGCCTGGAAAGGACAACGAAAAAAGATGTGGGACCGAATCGTACCGGGGCCTGGTTAAGGGTTAAAAAAAGATTTTAAATCGTTCAATATGACATTATCGTCTTCTTTGCAATTTTTATTTTTACTGCTACGCAATAAATTGTTGATCATGGAGGTTTTGAGAGCTGCAACAAATTGTAGGGTGTTTGGGTTCGGGTTGTATCCACAATTGCTGCGGATGCAACCAAAACAGTTTGCTAATGGATCTTGATTGAGTTTGCGCGTTGATAAACTTTTTATACTATATTGCCTTTCTAAATTAAAAAAATAGACGCTCAACTGCATTTATAGTTCTAATAAAACCTTCCTGCGAAAGCAGCTTGCATCTGGCCCCAATAAATTGTAATTCTTGGAACAGGATTTTCATTTCCTTAAAAAAATTTAAATGTGGACTTGTGCGGTAAAATTTATAAGTAATTTTTTGCCTCTTTTCTGATCAGGCGTATCGCCATTTAATGTGTCGAACAGCTGGTCTATTTTTTCTATCAGCATGGCTGTCGTCGTTGCTTCTTGCGGCAGTTCATCTGGAAAGTAAACACTCATTTTTTATTTCGTAGTGAAAGGTTAGGGAAAATGAAATGAAATTGAAGACAATGGGAAATTCACGCGGTCGCCGCGTCGCTTCTCGCACCCTCGTTCGCTCTTGGAAGCGTGTCGTGAAGGGACGCACGGGACAAGACGAGACGAGCGTGTACAGCAGGCATAAAATTACCTAATAAGTAATAAAGTAATCTTTATAAAAATATTCAATTATAAAAGGAAGCTGTCAACGCGAAGTAGCTTAATTTTATCTTATTAGAATGATTATTTGAATAAGTTCTAATAATAGTTGATTGACATTTTCAGAAACTATTATATTATATTATATTTCGAGACGTCGATTATTTTTGAAGATTATTAAAATTTATCCAATAAGACAACTTACTGTTCGCAATCTTTGCAAGCATTCCTGCAGCGACTGAATGGCTGAATACTTGGCAAGCTAAGCTGAATTTCATCTTTTGTTTAAAATTGGGTTCAATATGCTGCTTGGTTAAAGCTTTCATTGTCTTTTTCAAAGAATGATTTAATGCGGCTCCACTTGGCTACACCTGTAATAATAAACATGTAAAATATATTATAAATAATGACAGAAGTATTAAAAAATACATTTATTGAGTCTGTGTTAGTTAATATTAATCTGATGATCATCCGCGCGGCGCGTTGCACGAGACAAGATAAATCTTATGAAGTTTGAATTGCCACCGTTGACCTTGAAGTCATGTACTCATGTCATACCTAATTATTATCTATTATTTACAACATTTAAATTACCTGGCATAGATTTTCCATCAATTTGCTATACTTGAGGGCATTTAATGTCGTACTTCAGTAAATTATTTCTGAAGCAAGCAAGCAGAGGTGTGGTGGGTCTATAATTGTGACGATTTCATGGCCTTAAACTCAAAATGTGGTCGAGCCACTGAGAAACCAAGGGAGTTTAATGCTTTGATGTTCACACCAAAGTTGTCTGATACAGTAGCAGTGACATTCAACCCAGCTTGGAAGCTTGCATCAAGTACCTGTAAATACAAATATATAATTATATACCTAGTCAGGTCATAAGTATTGTCACACAGTAAAAACTTTTCTTTTAGAATGCTGGCCACAAAAAAGTTTATTGAATTCGAATTTCGAATTGTTCATGAAAATAAAACTGTATACTTTTTTAGAATTTTACTCATTTTTAAATATGGAGTGGACGCTTAAAGAAGACCGTGTTCAAATTTTTTGCATGTTGCATCGTTCGGTTACGCCAATTCAAATTTTTGACATACTGAAAAATTTGAATATAACCAAAAGATTCGTTTATCGTACCATCAAACGATACAATGAAGACTCTAGACTAGATGACAGGTCAAGAAGTGGTCGCCCTCGGTCTGTTAGGACTCCAGCAGTGCTAAAAGCTGTGATGGCGCGAATTCAAAGAAATCCCAAACGTAAGCAGAAACTGTTGGCCCTTCAGATGGGGTTAAGCAGAACCACGGTGAAAAGGGTGTTAAATGAAGACTTAGGGCTTCGGGTATATCGAAGAAAAACAGGACATCGTTTGAATGCTCGTCTAATGGACCTGAGACTGAAGAGATGCCGCACTTTGTTGAAGCGGTACGCGGGACAAAAATATCGGGAAATTCTTTTTTTCGGATGAAAAAATTTTTACCGTAGAAGAGAGCTACAACAAACAAAATGATAAGGTGTACGCACACAGTAGTGAAGAAGCGAGCAACCGTATTCCGCGTGTCCAACGAGGTCATTTTCCATCCTCGCTCGTGGTATGGTTGGGAGTTTCTTATTGGGGCTTAACAGAGGTACATTTTTGTGAGAAAGGTGTAAAAAAAATACAGTCCTAACGAACCTTGTGGAACCTGTTTCTCATACCATGTTCAATAACAGGCACTGGGTATTCCAACAAGATTCGGCGCCAGCTCATAGAGTGAAGAGCACACAAGACTGGCTGGCGGCGCGTGAAATTGACTTCATCCGGCACGAAGACTGGCCCTCCTCCAGTCCAGATTTGAATCCGTTAGATTACAAGATATGGCAATACTTGGAGGAAAAGGCGTGCTCAAAGCCTCATCCCAATTTGGAGTCACTCAAGACATCCTTGGTTAAGGCAGCCGCCGATATTGACATTGACCTCGTTCGTGCTGCGATAGGCGACTGGCCGCGCAGTTTGAAGGCCTGTATTCAAAATGACGGAGGTCATTTTGAATAAACTTTAGTGTCATAAGAATCTATGTTTTGTTAAGTTCATTTTGGTATAGAAATGGTTACATAATGAATAAACTTGTTTCAATTATTTTATATTAAACATGTGACATAATTTATGACCTGACTAGGTATATTGAGTATGCAATGGTTTTTTTTTCTTCAGTCAACTATATTGCATACTTACTTCTTTTATAAGAACAGATAATCTATCAGCCGTAACACAGTCACCAGAAAAGTAGAAAGCTAAAAGCTGCTTCCACTTTTTTCGTATTCCAATAGCCATAAAAAGCAATGCATGTGTGGCTGGCTCCATAGTTCTGCCTTGATTTCCATGATCTGGATAACCATCAATTACATCTTGTTTACTATTATATTGCAAATGTTTTCGTATTGACATTTCGTCAAATGCCAAAATGCACAGATTTTCTTCTGGTTCTCGATTTTTAGTTATATCTTTAATTGTTTCGAATATTTGGCTATTTATACCGCATTTCATCGGAATTCTATTCAGCAATGCTTTTAATGTACCTTCGCTTGGTAGACAAAAAAGTCGCCTCAGCAGTCTATAGCAGCCAGTAGACCTTTTATAGATGCTTAAAGCCATAACTTTGTCATCTATACTCCACCTCCGACCAGTTAGTTTTCTGGGAGTATTTTGCAGTTGACTTTGCAATAATAAAGCAAATGGCCCTGATATATTTGTGGCCGGTGTTGAAGCGCCTGTCAAATTAAATTAGCAGTTCTAATGCCAATATTAGTTCGTAAGCCGTGTAGGTTTTATATATATATATATATATATATATATATATATATATATATATATATATATATATATGTATATATATATATATATATAGCCGTTATGTTTTTAAAACAAAATACAGTTGTATCTTTCATCGTTTGTAAAAAATTAGAAATAAAAAGGTCGATTGCGCAAATTACTGCATTGTATTATTAAAAAGGAGATCATATTCCTATTCATGGTCCTAAATCGAAGCCGGATTTGAAAAAACGTAATTGGACAAGATATTATTTAGTGGAATACGCTTGGGAAGTCTTAAATATTCATTGTGGAAATACCACCGAGGGAGTGAAGATATTCAACCAAGAAATCTGGAGTCTTAGCCCCTTAGATATTGGACTATTATTTAATTTATTTAACCCAGCACTCATTATCAGGTAGTACTTTGTGTAAATCGACTGCTAATTTATCAGGTTAGTACCAACCAAATTACTTACAAAATAATTACGTATAACGTAAAGTATTTAATCAGCTAAAATTCATTTAATATTGTTTTATATAGTTTCTAATAACCGTCAAATCATAATTAAATTAAATTATAAGGCTTAATTAAATTATATTGACGATATTATAATTTTTTCTTTATTGGGTTTAAACTATCAAATAAGTAAGGGAATTAGTTTTCATTTCTTTATAACTGTAAACAAAATTGTATAAAACTACTTATGAATTATATTTTATAAAATATAAACTTCTTGTTTGTATAATTTATCGGGCATTTGCACTAGTCTCCCAATCCCAGCCAACATGCCAGAAGATAAGGAGCAAATTAGGAAACGAGCTAGCTACAAGGGACAATTAACTGCTTTTTCAAATTATTTAAATTCACTGAAGGTATCTTCATTGGCTGCTACTGAGGTAAATGAGTTGCAATTACGTATTGGTAGGATTGAGTCAGTGTATGAACGATATAATGAGGTACAATTATCCATCGAGTGTAATACTGATAACATAGACGCCCAGATATCAGAACGAACTGAGTTTTAATCCCTTTATTTTAAATCGCTTTCTCTTGCAAAA